CAGTATTAAAAGAAAACAAAATATTAACTGGCTGATTTTTTTCTTGTCACTTCATCTATTGTGTTTTCCATATAGTATACAGTGTCTTTCACAAAGAAATGCACTTGCACATTTTTTCTGAAGAAAAGCTAACGTCTGGCTTTTCACTGAGAGCGTGAATTTGCTCTTTGCTTGGCTATAGTAGTCACACAGGACTGGAAGACTGGAATCCAACATTAACACACGGCAAGGAATCAGGGGATTTTTTTCACATCTTCACATCTGGGTTCAACGTCCATGGTTTTTTAAATTTTATTTCCCTAAGGAAAGCGGAAGCCCTCCTTCCTTTACCATGTTTCTTGCAGACAGATGGGAATCATGAATGAGGGGCCAATGGGCCACCAGCAAGGAGCCTGTTCATTCATGAGAAGCAGCCAGGAAGAGGAGCCCAGCAGTGACAGACACAGTTCAGCACCAGGCACACAGCTGGATGCCGCAGGCCCCACCCTGTCCGGCATGGCAGCCACAAGCCGCAAGTAACCATTTCAATTTATAAATTAATTAAAACTAAATTAAAAAGCCAGGCGTGATGGCACACCCCTGTAATCCCAGCTCTTGGGAGGCTGAGGCAGGAGGATCGTTTCGAGTTCGAGATCAGCCTGGGCTACCAAGTGACCTCAAGGCCAGCCTGAACTGCATAGCAAGACCCTGTCTCAAAAAGACCAAAAAAAAATAAAATAAAATTATATGGAGTTCGTCTCCTCAACCACACCACAGGGTAGTTGTCCACCCTCCACATTGTTGTTCTATCCAGGGTGACATGCATGTAGCTGGTAGCAGAGTATTCACTCCGCCCCAGAAACGTCAGCCGCCATTGCTAATGGTGAACATTAGCTGACACATCCCATTTGCAAGGTAGCTCAGCATTAAAAAGTTGTGAGGGCTGGGGAGATAGCTGAGGGGCACAGCGCCTGCCTGGTAAGAGTCAGGTCCTGAGTTTGATTCCTGGTACCAAAAAATAAAAACTAGAAAAAGAATGCACATTAACAGATGAAAGGAAAGAATATCGTCATTCAAGGAGTTCAGGGTTATTCACACAAAAATAAATGTACCTGTATTAGACCACAGGAAAGTGTGGGTTAAAAGCCCATTCATAATAATGGTAGAAATTGCAAGGTACCCAAGAATAATTTCAATAAAATACCTACTAATACCTATTTTGAGAAAATGACAAATCATTATTATACAACATAGCTGGAGAAAACAAGGCAAGATATTAAGGTTTAACTCAGGCATTTGCTATAATACTCTAACTTCTATGTATTTGAAATAGTTTATAATGAATTTTAAAATACAACATGAAGATGTATTTAATTGTCTTTCCAGGAGCCCGAGGCACCCACGGCTATCACATCTTCCATCACAAAGAGCTGTAACCGCCAAAGCACACGTATATGATCACCAGCTGTGCACTGGTTGGTGGCCCTTACTAGACTAGCAGAACCCTACCCTGAAGCGAAAGGCAGTGGCCGGTCAGCCAGCGTGGTCACAATCTGCGCCCCTCGGGTCTCTGCATGTTGTGCTACAATAGTGCCACCTAATGGTCAGTGTGAGGACTCACATGCGCCGCGGGGTTAGAAGGGCTGAGGACCACGGCACCCGGGCGACTTTCTGTTGGTGGCCTGGCTTCCTCCAGCGACTCCGCTGAAAGAGGACGAAGGGATTGGGAGGAATTACGACTGATCAGCTTGCTCAGCCGCACCAGACCCGCGGGTCCCCGAAGACCTGAACTGTAATCTCTCCCTGCTTCCCTCCGCTGCCAGAAGCTGTCGAGGTCTGCGGGCTGCTTCCTCCCGGCGCGCTTGCCAGCACCAGCAGCGTCCGAAGCCCTTTGGACCAATGCCTCCAGCCCACCTTTGGCGCGCGCGTGAGGGAGAGCGCTGTTTCTGTGGCTGGTGGGGAAGGTCTGCATGAGGTGGGACTTCCGAAGCAAGTTGGTCATAACGCTTCCAAAATGTAAGCGGTGATCTTTATGAACTGTAGAGCGTCCGTCCTGGTGAGACCTTGGCGTTCACGTTACCAACCCCCCGCCGGGGCCTTGGGAGGTCTTGAAGTAACCACAAGCTCGCGTGTGACTGAGAACAAAACTGATCCAGGAGTACTAGCATTTCTAGCCCTACACACAGGTCAGTTAAGATAAGGCTGTGTCCCCCCAGCCGGCAGCACCCGCTCCACAGCCGTTTGCACACTCAAGATCTGCAGGTAACAGGCCGCTCACGAAGCTGACTGTTTTCTACTCTATTTGCAGTCCCTCATTCAACCTCCCCTACAATCCAGCATGTCAGGTGTTCTTTGTGTCCGTTTCACTGATGAGAAAATTAGACTCAGAGCTCAAGTACCTTCCGGAGGGCACACAGCAGGTAGCAAGAGATGAGCGCCCACGCTGCCTGAGACCAAGGCCAGTCCACTTCGCCAGAAAGCAGCAGGGAGCAAACAAGCCCCATGCAATTGCTGCTCACGGGTATAAATAAGGACAGGAGCCTTGGACCGGCGCTACCCACAGCTGCAGTCCCACACTTGCCGGTCAAGTGGCCTTGGGTAGTCCACCCCAGGAGCCCTACTCGACATGAGTTAATACAAGAGTTTGTAATACAGTCCTTGGAGATGTGCTGAGGGCTACCGCAACACACAAATGAAAAGCATCTCTCTTACGCTGTGCCTCCCCTGGTTGTACTTAAGCGTTTTTGGAAGCTTTCTCCCGACAATGACTAACTTTACTCAGAAAAACTTCTGAAAGTTTATTTATGCTCTTCTGAAATGTTTGTGTGCACACTCTGGTGATCACCTAAAACATCAGTCATTCCTGACTCATTTTTACTGAACACAATGTAGAAAGGGGGTTGATTCTGGCTTTTGGTGTAACGAGCCATCGCGAACGGGTGTCACGGTGTTGCCAGGCTGAGTTAAAGGGTTGGATTTGTGGGTAAGAGCTGAGCGATTATTTCATGTTTTCTCCACTGGCATTCAACAGCTCTTGCAGTGAACCCTTTTTTAAAGAATTAAATACACCCATTACTGAATAAATTGATGATTTTGATGACTGAATAAATTTTGATTTTAGCTTTGGGTATGGAAAATATGATGTGATGAAAACGACATTTTTCGCTGCACATGTGATAATGTAGGCAATTTTTATAATCAGTATGATGAGAAGTCAAAGCAAAGCATGTGTTCTTGTTGTTCCTGTGACTGGCTGCCGAAGGAGACGTGCAGGTCCCTGTCTGGGCCTGGGGGTGGCTCCCACCCGAGCAGGGCAGAGAGCCCAGGACCTCTGACCCCAGCCCCCTGGAGCCACAGCAGGGAAGAGCAGAACCAGCCCCAAGTGAGCCTCCCCGCAGCCTTGCACAAGAGCAGGTGTGGGCAAGGACATGAGGGAGGATGGCGGAGCGAACACGGGTCGGCTTGGTGCATTGCTCCAGTGTCCCCTCTGCTGGCGGCAACCCAGCCCTCAACAAGCTACCTGTATGAAGCATTTGACAGACACGAAGTGAACAGTGCTGGAGACAGTGACACTGAGCCTGCAGAGGGGACAATAGAGGCGGAGGGAAGCAGTGCCCTCAGGGCTCAAGGATGGCCTGAGGCCCTGGCACAGAAGCCCCCCTGGTCTTCCCAATTCCCTGCCTCAGCTTCTTGTCCCCACTGCTGGAATGAGTTGTCGGCTCCCATCAAACCCTCCTGCCGAAGGCACCCCGTCATCAGGGGCATTGGTGGGGACGGGGCAACGCCCACCCCTGTGGCATTTCAGGAACCGTTCAACCTGGCCTTGTGCCTTCAGGGTTGTGGGCTCGTGAGGACTCAGGTGACCACTCACTGGGCTGGCGTGGGACTGAGGGCTTTCAGGGATGCAGGACTTTCGGTGCTAGCTGTGGAACAGTCCTGGGCAAACAAAACCAACTTCGTGGCCGAGGATCCCTGCCCTGCCCCAGGGCCTTCAAGGGGCTCTGGGCTTTCCATCACCCTTAGTTTAGATACTGTGTCAGCCTTAGACCCACAGAAATGTCTAGTGGTCTCATAGCCCAGTGATTCTGCAGCTGGGTCAGCTGCAACTGGGATCCAGATGTTTTCTCCAAGGAACAATAATGACGGACATTTAGCAGCTGCTTTTGTTGGCTGCTTTTACAGCCCTTGATGTGGTAGCAAATGTCGTGGGCCATGACCCCAGGATGGTCCGAGAACAGCCAGGACCTGGGACCCACAATCACGCGCTCAGATTATTGCCACCAAGATGCCCTCCCCAGGCAGGACCAGGCCATGCGCTTTCTGCTCCCAGACAAGCCGGGTGCCACCAGCTTACCCATGTAGCCATGGCAGCAGCCTGCCCCTCCCCGTGTCCCCACGCTGACTCCCACTCATCTGTCATTCAGGGGGCAGCTGTAACAGGGCTCTGAGACATTAAGAGCCAAAGACACCAGGAGCTCATGAGCCAAGGTTCTCAGAGCGGCCCTCACACCACTGAAAGACGCGGATGCATCAGGGTTTTTTATGCACCAGCTTGCTTGCTTTTCATTCGTTTAACAAGTGCTTCATTGGAATATAATGGACATTCCAAACCATTCACCCGCTTAAAAGTGCACAGTTGGGGGGCTAGGGATAGAGCTAGCTCAAAGTGGTAGAGTGCTTGCCTACCAACACCAAGGCTCTGGGTTCTATCCCCAGCACTGAAAAAAAAAAAGAGAGAGCGAGTATACAATTCACTGGTTTCTAGAATATTCAGAATTGTGCATCCAGTATCACTATTAACATCGGAATATTTTCACCACCCCAAAAAGATTTCATTGTCATCCCCTTATCTACCTCCTGCAACTGCTCCCCCTACTGAAGGTCTTACTTTCACTTACATGTCATCAACGCAATCTCACATATCAGATGGAAGGCCGGGTGTGGTGGCGCACACCTGTAATCCCAGCACTCGGGAGGCTGAGGCAGGAGGATCGCTGTGAGTTCGAGGCCATCCTGAGCTACAATGTGAGTTCAAGGCCAGTGTGAACTGCGTAGTGAAACCCTGTTTCAAAAAGACATTTAAAAAATTATGCAAGAGGCATCAGAGCTAAAGGACCCAGTCCACACTCCTGCAGCCACACCCCAGCTGCAGCTCGACTTACTCTGGATGTGAAAGTCATGGCAATGGTATGATTGCCCTATGTCTGTGGGTGCTAGCATCCAGCACAGATGTGGGTGCTGACTTCCTTCTTTATCTACCAGCATGAGCAGGGCACATCTGGTCTTGGACACACCCCGAACTGTGGCTCCTGGAAGATACACAATAAAAATTAAAAATATTAAAACAATTTTAAATATGAAAATTCCAAGATTAAACAATTTAAAAGTTTTCAGTTGCTCATCATTCTGAGTCGCATGATGAAGTCTGACAATATCCCTCTCCCTCCTGCCCAGAGTGTGAATCTACCTTTTGCTCAGCATCCACCTTTATACCTTACTGTATGTTAGTCCCTTGTCAGGCCACTCAGTTGTCAGATCAGCTGTCTTGGTATCAGTATCACAGCTTGTGTTCAAGCAGCCCTTACTTTACTTAATAATGGTCCCAAAGGTCAAATATTATTATACTATATTGTTAAAATTATTCTATGTTATGATTAATTGTTGTTGTTAATCTAGTCTGTCAAATTTATAAATGAAACCTGGAACAAACACAGGTCAGCTCAAGGCCCTGGACAGGAGCAGGAAAACACCATAAGGATTGGTACAAGCTGCAGCTTCAGGCACTCCTTAGATACCGCAGAATGCATCCCCCCATCGCCTGCCTGTTTGTTGCACCTGCCTCTGCGTGGGCGCCCTGCCCTTATTGCTGTATCTGCTTTTGCAAATTGCCAGGATGAGTGATGGTGATCTTATGCATGCTGCATGGGGAAAGGAAGCTGAGAAGGAAGCAAAAATGGGAAGGGAGAGTTTTTTTGTTTTGCTGAGAGGCTGGAGTCTCCCAGCCTCTCTCATCCCTCCCCTGCTCCCCCGGCCTCAGCAAAAGGAGGATCAAAGAAAGGCTGCAGGCCTCACAGACGGCAAGTGGCCTGCTGGGGCTGAACCCATGTTTCAAACAGCTCTCTTTTCAACATCGGTAATTATTTCAAACATCCTTCATGCTAATTAATAAGGTTACAGTGTCTATTTCCATCGTGATCATGAAGGCTGCTAAGGCACTACCTCTAAAAAGAGAATCCTCAATAAAGGGCTGCTAGGGTTTAGAGGTAGATTGTCCCCCCACGTCACATATTCAGAGGCGGGACTTTGGGATGGTGATAGATTGTGGGTGTGCTGCTCTGGTCAGGGGATGAATCCTTGATGAATTCAGAGCTAACTTTGCTTTTAGGAAGCAGGGCCTGGTTGGAGAAGAGATGCGTCTCTGGCCATGCACCTGTGGGGCGTGTGTCCCCCTCCTCGGCTCCTCCCTTCTCTCTCTCTCTCTCTCTCTCTCTCTCTGTCTCTCTCTCTGTCTCTCTCTTCTTCCTGGCTGCCTCGGGTTGAGCAACTGCACCCTGCCAAGCCCTTCCAGTGTGCACTTCTGCCTTGGAGCCAACTTTGGGCTGAACGCAGTGGGAACTGGGCCAAGTGGACCTCTGCTCCTTTAAACTGCAGGTATCAGATACTTTCTCCCAGGCGTGGGAAGTGACTAATACAGGCACCTTCAGTGCCAACCAAACAACTTTTAGGGGTGGGCTAGAGCTACTTACATACGCACACATACTACTATTTATAGTGTGTTATTTTTAAAGTAAGCATCTATAAATCTAATGTAAAATTAACCTTCGGGAATTTCCCTCTCCGTGCCTCAGATCGCCTTCTGGAAATCGCAGTCCCCATCCCAGCACAGACCAGGCAGGTAAATGGGTTGATCCCGGCAGAAAGATCATGCACAATGCAGAAGCTCCGTGCTGACCTAGAAAGTGAGCAGTGTGAGGCCACGTTTTTCCCAGTCTCAGAGTAGATTCCTACCAAAGTGTATGAGGTAAATGAATGAACAGAGCTTTTGCTCAAAACTTCCAAATGAACGGCATAGGGCTGGGGTCACAAGTCCCCCTTTGCCTTGAGCCAGTTGGGTGTTCCCACACCCGTCCTCGGAATTTCTTTCCTACTCTACCGTGACACAAACATACTAAGTCACAGAGCAAAGTATGTAGCCTTCGCCCACAGGTCTAAGCTTACCTGGAGCTCCTCCTGCCCCCTCCTGCTTCAGAGATCAGCACAGCTGTCCACTACGCCCCTGGCCCTGGCTGTGCTCAGGAACTTTGTAATGTGCTAACCCTTAAGAATAAATAATAATCACCAGAAGGGACAACAACAATGCATTCTGCTCTTTCTCAGCCCCTCGGCCATGGAGGGGCAGCCTCCTACAAGAAGAGTGGAAGAAATCAGCCTCCGGCAGCAAGGCACTGTAAGACAGGCAGCTCTGGGCCTACGCCCTGGGTCGTTCTTAGAAGGGTTATAGGCCAAAGAATAGGAACAACATAGTGCAGGGCAGCCAGAGGATAACTGCTTTTTGTATAAAATATGAGGTTGAGCCGCACCCAGGCAGGTCACGCGGTCAGGTCTTGGGGCGGAAGAAATGGGGAACCCTCTTGGCCCTACAGTTCCTAAATCACTCCGGGTAAACAGGCAAGGAAGAACCTCCCCAGGGCCTCAGGAGGAGCTGTGCCAACATCTCAAAGGTCAACAAAGCTATAAATCAACTGCATTTGCACCAAACGGACCATGCAGCGTTATTTTGAAAACAGCTTGGCCAAAAAAATTCCCTGGAGGCGAACCAACTCAAAGAGCAGAAACAGAGAAGAGGGAAATGCCACCTTCCTCGTCCTGTCTCGAGACAGGAGGCCGTGCGGACACAGCAGGGGCTGTCTCCCTGCACTTGCCCTCTCACCATCTGGAATGCACACCCCAGGACAGTGCTCACGGCCGAGGGGCCACAGGGTGGTGGGACAGATGTGCCCTGCTTCGCTGAACTCGTTCTTTCCTTCAGCACTTTCATTCAGATATTTTCCCCTAGGCCTCCACAGGTAAGCTGACGTGGGTTTCAATCTCCAGGTGTGTCTACCACATGCAGTAGCAGAATGGCCTTTTGTGGGCTGGGGATGTGGCTCAGTGGTAGAGTTCTTGCCTTGCATGCACAAGGCCCTGGGTTCGATCCCCAGCACCACAAAAACAAACAGACAAACAGAATGGCCTTTCCAGCCCCCAGGAAATTGGGGGCCTCCACAGGAGTGGTCTGGGCCAATGAAACGGAAGCAGCACTGACACCTGGGTGAAAGCTTGGAGGAAAAGAGCATTTTTCAGAAGGTTGTCTTCCCTGACTCAGCCCCCTTGGAAGGTGGCGACGGTGAGTCAGTGAATCAGCTCAGTCATCGTCGTTCAGCGAATCAGAGTCAGACAGTGTCCCCCAGCCTGGGTCGTGGCATGAACAGTCCCAGGCATCCTACACGGGGTATATCGGAAACAGGAAACGAACTCTGTGCTCGTAACATCAAGATTCAGGACTGTGTTATTTCTGTAACATAACCTGCTCGTGTGACTTGCAGGGCTGTTGGAGAGGCCAAGCTGAGACAGAGTCTCACCTTTCTAAGCATGCAGTGGCCTAGTTGGGGAAGTTACAGCCTAAGGACAAGAAGAAAATGTTTTAAAGTAAAAAATACATAAATATATGAAAAACCCACTAATGAGCAACAAATGACCATTCAAACAAGCTACTGCAAGGGTGTCAGAGACAGAGCAGCACCGCTCACCCCCAGGAAAGGTAGCTTTGAGAAAAGGGCTCCCAGCACAAAGATGGCTGAGGAGGTCAGACGTGAAGAAGGAGAGGCAAAAGGACGGCTCTGCAGATGAGATGTGAGGATGTGGCCGCGAGCGTGAGACTGAGGAGGGCGGGAGACCAAAGGAGTGCTGGTGGAGTGGAACACGGAACGTTGCTGATTCTGTGTGAAGCAGGAGCTTTAGAGCTGGGCACGGCCTCAGACAGGAAGGGCCCAGGTGGGGCGAAACTGCTGCTACGGGAACGGAATCTCAGCCGCCTCCTGTGCTTCACCTGTTTCGTTTGTGAAGCAAATACCTAACTGCTCATTCTGGAACAGGGTCAGCAAAGCCTAGCACTGGAACTTCATATGGTTTGTAATCACACACACACACACACACACACACATGCACACACACATGCACACACACATGCACACAGACACACACACATGCACACACACATACACACAGACACACACACATGCACACACACACACACACACATGCACACACAATATCCAAGGATCAGTTTGGCACAGAAAAATCCAGAACTGTTGCGTTGCTTAATCATGTTTGAGTCATCACTTTCAACGGCCACAGGGGCTGACCACAATTAAGCTTTGTCAGTCAGTGTCAGTCAGTCAGTCAGTCAGTGTGAGTCGATCAGTGAATCAGGTCAGTCCTTGTCAGTTTTCCTGTCAGTCGGTGAATCAGAGTCACACACAGTGTCTTGTAGGTCTGTCTGTCTCTGTCAGTCATTATCAGTGTCAGTAGGCCAGTTATTGTCAGTCAGTCAGTAGGTCAGTCGGACAGTGTCAGTCCATCAGTGTTAGTCGGTGTCCATCAGTCAGTGTCAGCTAGTGTCTGTCAGTCAGTCATCCAATACAGTCACTGCTGGCCAGTCAGTAAGTGCAGCATTCAGGTAGCTTCTGAGTACTGTGTCCATCTGCCTTTTGTTTATTTGCTCAGCACCTTTCCTGAGTCTGGGAACTGGGGTAGGATAAGGGTGTCATTCCACCATACGGCTAGAGAAAAGGGCCCGGAAACTCAGGATGAATTAATTACCAAGCTAGGTTAGGTCACCTGCTGCCAGGGTGAGTTTTGTGAGCTCTGAAGGCATCAGTTCAGAAGTGAGTCAAAGAGAACAATGTCAGCTTTGAGTCTGAAGAGCCTCCTCCTCCCCCATGGGGGTGTTTGGTGTTACTCCACCAAAGTGCTCTGGCCTCAATCCCAGGGCTGGTATAACGGCCAGGGTGATGCCTTGGGCTCTGTAGCGGCAGGTCCTCTGCTTCCCTCTCACAGAAGGCGGTGTTGTCTGTGGATGGGCGAAAGAGGCGTTGCCTAACACAGCCGCTTCTTTCTCACATAGGACCATAGTTGAGGGTGGAGGAGGGTGGGGCCACTGGGAGCCTTGGCCCAGTCCCCAGATTTGATCATTGTTGTGGGCACGCGTTTTGTCTGCCTAAACAATGTCCCCTTTGTTTGAAAGAACTGCTCATCTCCCCTCTCCTTCAACACTCACCCACCCTGTGAGTTTGTGCAGGAACTCACAATCACAATGTGTGCCCTTATCCTAGCCAGATGTGAGCGTGAGACCTAGGTTGAATCAGCTGTAGAACTTCCTTATTCCACAGTGATTGGTCCTAGGACAGGCATGTGACCCAAGAAAGGCCAATCAGAATCCTTCCGGATTTTTCTGAGGCTGCATCTTAATGTCCTTCGCTAGAAGCACATGCGCCTAAGTCTGCCAGCAGAATGCCCGGTTGTGTAGGGCAGACCTTAGAAGGAGACAACAAACAGAACGAAACAGGTGCCAAAGGAAGCAGACCAGGGATGCCTGACAGAATTTCCAGCCTCTAATTCCAGTCAGCCTCACAGCTGCCCCCATCCCCGGCCTCCCGCCATTTGGTTTTGAGACCCACAGTTGTAGTCAAAGCCTTGCCTGAGGTCAACACCATAATGCTGCCACTTTTAGGCCTCGCTTGCCCATTTGGAAGTGGATGGTCCAGTGTAGAGCTTGCCCAAGCCTAGCAACTTCCGCTCTTCCAGTCTCTTGGTCAGGAGTAGGCAGGCACAGCCCAGGAAGGGGCTCAGTCCTCAGGTGTATGCACCAGGCAGACTCTCAGGAGGAGACCTGGGTACCAGCACCTCCCCCGGTGCTCACGCCTTTTCCTGCTACGAGGCGTGTGTGTCTTCCACTCAGCGTTCTGCCGTGAACACATTCTAGGTGCCGAGAATCTTCCCTCGCTTGACTTCTTGGTGACTTTATAGGCGTGTGATCTGTGCAGTCACACAGGGCCCCACCCTTAGAAAGATCCTATTCTTGCTTCAGCGTTCTGCTATCACCATCTGGAAATTCTTAATCATTTGGAACAAAGGGCCCAGCATTTTAACTTTTCACAAAACTCCATGAAGTATGTAGTTGGTCCCAGCTCTGTGCAGTCCCTTGTGGTAGAATCTGGGAGGCCAGTGAGTTGTTCCAGCTCCCAGGACCCCTTTCTCCATTGGCCCCGTATTGTGTCTTCCTTATCCTTTAACGTCTCTCCCCCCCACACACACTCTCCTGTAATCTTCCCCTGTCGTACCCCTACAGGTAGACAGACCATCAACCTCTGCAGCCTCACCTCCACCATACCACACCCAGCAGCTGGCGCATCCTTCCCATCCGAGCTCTGTGTAAAAGCAAAGCTGGGATTCACTTTCTTTGGGCAGTGCCGATAGGAGTGGCTGTGCCTGCTTCTGCCCCTCAAGCCCCAGCACCCTGCAATTTGGCTTCAACCTCTCTTCCAGATGGAGCCTTTCTAATAGGAGCAATCAAGAACTCGGCTGCAGATTCATATGAGCAGAGCTTCCTGTCTGAGGCCAATCATAGGTCTGTGGTGAGGATTTAAAAGTCTAGCAAACAGGTGAGCAGCCCGTGTTCTTGGGAGCAACCAGCAAAGGTGTGTGCTTGCCCTTGGCCTGGCCACCTCTCTGAGAAGGGCGGGATTCCAGCCCCTCGAATGCAGCCCCTGGGGAAGCAAAGTACCAATCAGTAACTGCAAAACTGGCCACCACCTCAGCGTTCACACTCACAGTACTCAACATGTGAAAACCCAGGGGAGGAGGAGAGGGAGAAACTGATATACAAGTTGAGTCCAAGTGTGGTAAAAGGGCTTTATTTCTGGAGCACAGTAACCGCCACGCAAGTAGGAACATTCCATTTACCAGTGCCATCTATGTTTTGTGTCACAAAGACATACTAAGACTTTGGAAAAATTCCAAAGGGGATTACACTTGAAATGTGCTGTTTTGTCACCTTTCCTGAGCAGGGCACTTATCTTCATCCCATTGAACCAAACATAATAGCTTTACAGCTTACTAAAACTCAAACTTGTCCTCAAAGGAAGCAGTTTAAACATTTCCAACTGTAAATAAGCGATCCAGTGATTCTCCATCAGGACAGAAAGCCAGAGAAACCAAAGGTTGCTCAGCCAGCACGCTCATCACGTCAAGAGGACACAGGCGTGAGGCAAACCCACCTGCCCTGGGATGAGCGAGCCTCTTCAGAGCAGAGACCCCCAAATGGGAAGGCAGCCTTGTGGGCACAGCATTCTCCTTAGGAAAAGGAAGTAAGGAATAGACCTGGCTCGGGCCAGGTAAGAACAGGGGTTAAAGAGAAGACACTGAGCATTTGCAATGCCGGCTACTGGGGAGGCTGAGGAAGGAAGACCACAAGTTTGAAGTCAGCCTTGACCACTTAGCAAAACCCTGTGTTGAAATACAAAAAGAAAAAAGGCAGGGGGTATAGCGTAGTGGCAGAGTGCCTACCTAGCATTCAGGAGGCCCTGGGCTCAATCCCCAGTACCACAAAGGCGCAGAATGGCAGCATATCACTGCGGTGTGCCCAGAGGACAGCATTTACCGTGAATAAAAGAGCTGGAAGGCGTCTCTCTGAGGCACCCCCTTGGCTGTGCCAGCCACACGTGCAGTTCAGCCCAGGAATGAACTGGAAGGAGTTTCTCCATGCTCTTGCCAGGCAGCAGGGACTTGAGGGCATTGAGGACCACATTCCACGGGCAGATGCCCACATGCTCCCTGAATAGCTGAGCTACCAATCCCCTAACAAACATGGGAGCCACCATCTCGAAGGCGGTCATGACGACCAGAACGGGTGGGTGCCGCCCGGGCATGCCAGGGCCGCTGACAGTGTGGCCTCCACGCTCCGGCAGCACTGTCTCATTTCTTGTCCAGTGCCAATGGGCTGTCCCCTTCTCCCGCGAACACAGCAGTAGCTGTCTGGGGGAAACAGAACAACTCCATAGTGGCAATAAATCCCCCACGAGGGCCCGGCTCTCTGCTGATGCACCTGAACGTTCCTGGGCAGAAACTTCTGACTCCTGGGCCCAGGTTTACTGTAAGGTATGGTTTAGAAGCGCTCGTGCCAGAAACTACTGTGCTGGGTGGGTGAAAAAAACAGACAGCCCAAACACTGAGCGAAGCAGTGTGTATGTGTGGTGTGCGGCGTGACGTGTGGTGTGCACTGTGATGTGTGGTGTGCAGTGTATGTGTGGTGTGCAGTGTGTATGTGTGTGATATTTAAGTGGTGCCATGTTTGTGCACAGATGGGGGCAGAGGGCCCCTGAGCAGGCCCTGGGGGTCAAGTGGCCCCACCTTCTGGCAATCCCACACAGCCACACTGCAGTGCTGGGTCCCCTTGTGGATGAGGTTAGCAATGGGTAACCTGAAAACTTCCCATAGCAAACGTCCCCTGGCCACCAGAGTACGTATTTCAAACATTATTTGATGCAATGAAATTCATGATCATTCACTAACTTTTTTCAAACTTTCAACCATGAATCACATCAAGTTTACACGGCTTTCCAAGTTGCACAGGCACGCACATCTAGAAATGAGCTTATACTCAGCCTGATTACAGGGGGTATGTTCTGATATGTCCTATTCTGTTCATGTGTGGAGATGACCCACTGAATTGTTTTCCCTTTCTTGGTACTAGGAATTTAACCCAAGGCCTATCACTAAAATATACCCCCAGCCCTTTTCAAATGTCTTTATTTTGAGACAGGGTCTCACTAAGTTATTAAATCACCCAGGCTGGGGTCAAACTTGCAATCCTCTTGCCTCCGTCTCCCGGAGTGCTGGGATTACAAGTGTGCCGCCAACACTGAATTGATTTTGTGACCCACTTGCAGCTGGACACAAACAGATGTTTTAGACCAAGGCTCCCCGCACGGTGCAGACCCTCAGTGAGGGTCACCAAGTGCCACCATGGGGGCACCTGCTGTCAAAGAGGAGAAAGCAGATCTTCTGACCAATGTAAAGAAAAGAGGTCCTGTTGGAGTGGACTCAGGCCCAGGCTGGCAACCATCAATCGGTCCACTTCCTGAAGTTGTCAGGCAAAACTAAGCCACTCACTGGGACCAGCCCTGTCCCATGTCTGCCTGAGCCAGATGCGCCTGGCCCAGTGGGAAGGAACTGGGATCCAGGCCACCCCGGGGTCCGCCAGGTCTAGCGGAAAGACGCTGCTGGAGCATGCGCTTCTACTTTGCGCTCCATCTGGGGGGAGCGCAGACCATAAGGTCCCCCAAGGGCGCTGTCGCCCCATACTGGCTCTGCCCAGACCGAGCGACCCAGAAAGCTGTCCGAGCTGGGCGGTGGGGCCCAAGGGTCTTCAGGCGGGCTGCGTGGGAGAAGCAGGACCCTGGAGCCGGGTGTGCCCCACTGCTGGGCCTGTGCACACAGCTGGGACGGGAGGTTGCCAGGGGCGCTCGGGCTCCGCTGGGGTGGGAGGCTGCTCAGGCCTGGCCCCAGCTCTCCGGGGCACTGCTGCCCGGCGCTGCCCATGCCACCGCCTGTGGGTACCCAGTTGTCGCTGACGGCCAACCGCGAGAAGCCCCCTCGCAGGGCGGCCAGGGCCGCGGGGGCAAGGCTGTGCGTGCCGGGCTCCTGAGGAGCCGGCGGGGCCCGCGTCTTGGCGCGCAGCTCGTCTGCCACCGCCAGCTGCACGCGGTGCAGCCTCTCCGGGTGGTAGAACTTGCACTTGATGCCGTAGGTGCATTTCTTGCCTGGAAGGGGCAGAGCAGAGAGGGCACAGAGTGAGACCTGAGGCAGGGACAGGCCTGCAGTTGCAGCAGTGCCTGGCCTTGGCTTCTCCTCCCGAAGTCCCCAAAAAAGGCCTGGGGTCCGGGCCTGGCAAAGGCAGGAAGCACCCTCTGCTGCTTACAGGATGAGCAACGGTGCTCTAAGCGCAGTGACTCCCAAGCAGGTTAGTGAAAGCTGCCGAGAAGGTCAGCTGGGGTAAAATCCCTGCTCTCAATGGATTCTTTTGCTGGGTAGACTTAGGGGCGACAGTGGGGCAAGATGGGACACAGTGAAAGGGCTGAGAACCTCCCAGGGGTACATGGCCATCCTTGTCCCACGTGTGACTCCAGCATCCGGCCCCAAAGCTCCATGCAAGTGTCTAAGACGTCAGTTCAGCCTCACAGCAGCCCTGCCCAGAAACCGCAGTCCAGAGAGGTTAAGCTACCTCTGAAGGGGCATCCAGCCGGTCAAGGGCAGAACTGGGGAGGAGACCCAGGCTCCTGACTGCCAGACCAGCACTTTTGACTTTGCCCCTCTGCTGCTCCTGCCAGTCCCTGAACAGGAATCAGAAGGCCCTGGGCACTACCCACCATAGGGGCAGTGCTGCCAGGATGGCTCTGGGAGCCTCGGCTTCCTGCTCAGGAAGTTGCTCAAGGTGGGTCCATGGCGGCCCAGGGGATCGTCAGGAGGCATGAACCTAGGGAAGAAGCACAGAGGGGTGACCGCTAGACCAAAGGGGACTCGCCACTGGCTTCTGTATGGGAGCTGGGGTGCAGGCCCAGGCCGCCCAGCAAGCACCAAATGGCGCCATGCACCCAGGGCAGTTGTCAGAACATCTTTAACAGCTCACCCCCTTCACCCTGAGCCTGAGAACACAGCACAGCCCCAGCCGTCCCCGGACCTCCACCCCACGTGGTGCAAGCCAGCGGCACAGAATCACCCAGCAACTGCCTATGGAGGCAGCCTCAGGGGTCACACTCACTTGTTTAATCATAATCTGAAGCCCTTCAGAAATTTGCATTTTAACAATTTCCCAGGTGATTTTTATCCAGGAAAACTGCAGCATAATTGCTGCACCTCCATGCTCCAGGTTCCCATTGTCCTCACAGGGGGCAACCGCCATGGGGTTAACAGAAGGCGGCCAGCAGGTCTGGGGGCTCTGTGAGCTCCTGGAGATGTAGGCCCCTTTCTCCTGCTTGCCTTGCCCCATGCCAGACTCAGCTCAGGATGTGCAGGCGAAGGGTCAGCGCTGACAGTCGCAAGCACCAGCCGGTGCCTCGGAGAAGCAGCCGGAACACAGAGCCAAAGCACCACCGAGGCCCCTCCTCGGCCAACCCAGGGTTTCTGGGCGCCATCCGGCTTCCCTAGCTCTCTCCGCACATGTGGTTCTCTGACAGCAGCCTGTGCCTCCTCCTCCCTGGCACAGAGCCCTGACAAGGAAAGGGAACGCACACGCGGGGTGCTCAGGGATCCAAGGGAAAAATAAAGCGCCTCAGCAGGAAAACTCCCATTTCGTGAGGTCTTCCTTTCTAAAAGAATGCTTTTATTCCCAGGAGACCTTTCCAGGCTATACAGAGGTCCTAAATGGGAGCTTCTAAATGGGGGAAGAGCTAATGGATTTTAATGGATTAGAATCTAATGGAATCTCAGGGGAGGAGGGGTTGTTTTATGGGTTGCTGTCCCCTCCCTCCCAAGAGTCACAGAGTCACAACAAAGTCCCGCCCTGCAGAGAGCTGGGCGGTCCTGGCCCAGGGCAGTCTCCACGGCTCAGCGCCAAGCTCGACAGCCAGCTTCTCAGAGTTGGGCCCTGACCCAAAATCTGGGGACCCGCCCACTACAGTTATTGAAAGTTCCCAAAGGCTTCACCTCCCGTTCTCTCGGGAGCAGGAACTGTGCCAAGAAGGCCCTGTGGACATGCCCTCACTCACGCTCAGGAAGGCAGACACGGCCTGACCGCCGTTAGCAAAGACCAGTGTGTCCAACAGACTTGGCCCGGGCCCCTGGCTGTCGCCAGGCCAGAGGCAACCATGACCCATCAGCCCCCAGGGAGGATTTCTGGAACCCACAGTCACAAGCTTGCCAGATGTCTAGGCCAAAGCTAGACAGGGAGAGCAGCTGGCCCTGTGCATCTGGAAAGGACCATCGGGTCGTTGCTGGTGTGCATCTGCCCTGGGGCTCAGGAGGCCATCTCTACCCCCTCAGCAACAGTGGAAGGGGCAACAATGTACCCCGGGGGTGCCATGCCCCCATCTGGCCTTGGAAGAACAGTTATTAGTTTGGGGCACAATTCTCTAGTCCCATAGTGATTTCACAGATACTATTACTTTCAGCCGTGGGTGACTGGTGGCCATGACCCACTGACCGCTCCGAACCCCAGCTTTCCCACAGCACAGCCAGGCCTCCCTGGCTCCAGGGTCGAGAGCCGCCCCGTTGTGAGCAGGTGGCCTCTTCTCCCCTCTCCTCCCTTCACCGCCCCCACAGCTGTTCATTCACTCAGCCGTGCACTCATTCACTCATGCATTCCTGTGACGCTGGTTCTTCCGTGCCGGGCACGCTGGGACCTGGCAGATACAGTCGCTGCCCTTCTGGACTTGGGGCGCTTCTGGAAAAACATACCCCAAAAAACTAGTTGAAGAGCCCAGAATCGGAGCTGAACCATCACTGCCTGGGACAAAAACTGAAGTGGGAATGGTGTCCCTGCTTGCTGTGCCACCCCAGTCTGTTCCCCAGGCCCACGCCCACAGTCCGGGCTCCCCATGAATGCCCAGGCACGTTTGCAGCGGACAAGCCATCACTTCCTCCCCTCCTTAGCTCCGGGTCAGGGCCCTCACCCAGTGCCTGCTGACAGATTTATGCCTTGTGACCCTGGCATCCTTCCCTTCCCCAGCCACAGCCACTTGGTGCAGAGCTGACCCGATTCAGGGTCCTCGAAGCCAAGCAGACTGACAGGTTCTCATGACTGGTTCAACCAAGAGGCGTGTGGACAGCCATTTTCAGGCAGATTTAAGGTCTTTACTGCCTAAAGAAAAGACTGTCTACCCTACTCCCATGTGTAATTCAGAACTTTTTTAAAAACCTGAAATAGGCCTGGGGAAGTAGCTCAGTGGTGCAGCGCCTGCCTGGTGAGCTCAATGCTCTGAGTTTGATTCCTGGTACCAAAAAAAAAACCAGACCAAAAGAAACCCTAACATAAGTGAAAGGAAATACAACGGAAGTCCAGATTTTTTTCTGGATGACTATTTCAGAGGTCTTATTTGGAGGATTAAATTCTATTTCTTTTTTTTTTTTTTTTTTTTCCGTCTTTTTGAGGCAGGGTATAAGTATGCAGTTCAGGCTGGCTTTGAGCTCACTTGTAGCCCAGGCTGGCCTCGAACTCAACAATCTTCCTGCCTCAGCCTCCCAAGTGCTGGGAATTCAGGCATGCACCACCATGCCCAGTGAGGATTAAATTCTAAAATAAAACAAGTTAAAAAAAAAAAGAAAAGAAAAGAAGTTTCTAGTGCACCAAGCACACACCCTGGCCTACCTGCTGGGCAATTTGCCATGGGAACTGCAAGGTCAGGGACCAAACTGCCCTGTGCGTGAAAGGACCCACCAGGAAGTTGTCACAAAAGAGAAGAAACCCAGAGCAACAGAAGCCTCTTATGGCCCGGGGAGGCTGAGTGAGTGACAGGCCAGCTCCATCTATAAAGCTGGGTGTGCCCGTGACCCCAACCTAGTTCTGCCTAGTCATAGGAACAGCTTTCTGCTGTCACCCCAGCCCTTGGTGCCAGGCCCTCTGCCCCATACCTATCATTGACAAAGGAGAACATGAGCAACCTCTGCTCAATGAACCACTTCCACTCAGGGTTCTCGCTCTGCAGATCTCGGTAGTTGTCATTGGAGACGATGACACCATCCTTCTCATAGGCCACCTTCACAATGTAGCGGTCGTCATAGCAGACCACCCGCTTGCCGTTCACCTTGCGGGACGGGGTGTACACGAGCACCGCCTGCCGCTCCAGCTCCTCCAGCACGTGCTGCTCTGGGGTCACAAGCGGAGACCACAGTCAGGGCCATGCTGCCACTCTCCTCCCGCCCTGCCCCAGTGGTCAGATGGAAGCAGGGGAGGGAGCGGACACCAGGTTCTCCTCCCACTCCTGATGCTCACTTTTCCCTCTAAACTTCACTGGAATTTCCAGCAGCCCCAGGCCAAGATGGCTTTTGGTTTCTGCTACCTGGGTTAAGACAGAGTCTAGAATATGGTACTCAACCCGTGAGAGCCTCCTTAGAAGATTTCAGCCACAGCTCTCGTCCTTTTGAGGTTTACATGCCACACTGGTCCTACAGTGGTAGACACCGGGACCTCCTGAGGTGGACATCCTGTATTAACTGGAACCCTGGTGATGCCTTGGCGATGATCAGCAGCCTGGCATCCATCCGGAAAGCTCCTGGGGGGCCTTCACTGAGAAGGATCCCACAAGAGTCTGCTTGGCCACCTGTGAGCTGAAGCATCCTGCAACGGACACCTCTGAGTGACTTAAGAATGTAAGAGGAAGCGTCTGGAACTCGGAATACGTAGGCTGGGCTCAGAGACCAGCGCCAGCTCCTTACCCCCCTCTCACATTAGGTGCTACAGTCATAAAATGAGGTGATGACACCTCCTTTGCCTGTCTTGTGTGCTTGAGAGCAGACTGAGCAAGCTCAGGTGGGTGAGAGGTCCGGCAGACACTGGGAAGGAGGTGGTGCAAACACTGCAGTGTCTCTCCTAGCAGGCGCTGCTGTCTGCGCCCTGGCAAGGGCCACTGTTTGATCTTAGATTTGCCTTTTGGGACTTGCAGGGAAAATCTCTTTTCCACGTAATAGTTACTTAGAACTTGCAAACGTATATTCTTCATAAATTATTTCTTCCCTTAAGTTTAAGTCCCTTCCAGTATGACATGATTTGCAGACTTTAAGAAGATACGGAAAGTATTTGTGGTACAAAGTGCAATCAAAATGCCATAAACTTTGAGAAGCACAAGGCGGGCTGTGCCTGGGAAGTGCCTGCTGCCCCTCCCTGTTCACAGTCCTCTCCATTCCCCTTAAGGAAATTCATATTTTATAGCACAGTGTTTTATAAACCATAATTCCCTGTTTTAATTTAGAAATACATACGTGTGAGGACCATTTTCAACATGGCTACACATGGAACTCTGCACAAACGGAATTGGATTCTGCCCGCACTTAAACAACTGCTTTTTCCATTGACCATGGGTGGTGGAGTTTGGCTGTTTCGTGTTCACTGCAGTCAGCTTGTGAGTAAGCCCCTGGCACAGAAGTCCAAGGAACTCTCTAGAATGTTCCTTAGAAATTCTCTAATAATTTTCTTTTGTCAATCTGCTGAATATAAAGTGCCCTTTTATGGTGGTTTTATTTTGCATTTGTCTAGTTACTAATGAGACTGAGCATCTCTGCTACGTTTATTGGTCATTTATGTTTTCTCTTCTATGAAAGACTCATTCTTGCTTTAGTTCATTTTTCTATTGGCTCACTGTGCTTGTCTCGTTAATTTGAAGATGTTCTCCATAAATCTAAATATTAATCCTTCATCGATAATATGTGATGTGCAGCCTCCCCCAGCTTGAGACATGCCTTTTCTTTTTCTTTGTTCTTTCTTTATTTTTTTCTTTTGTGAGATTTTTATTCATCTTTCCCCATAGTATTGCCCTTATGCTAGCTTGATTCAAAATTCTTTTTGTACCCCCAAATAATTTTCCTACTCTTTAGCTATATTATATTTACACATGGAATGAATGGTTGAAAGACACTATTCTCCATGTTCATGCCATAAAGAATTATTGGGAGTAACCAGTTCATAATGGACAACTGAACAGAAGGAAGTATCCTCCTTTCTTCCCATAAATTCCACTGAAATTACAGCTAAGAGGTATCAATAGGGGCTCCATCATTAAAAATGGGTTTGGGAACAACAGCAGATGCAGGATTTTGATAAAATCTAGGACGGAAGGCAGAGAGGACCATACTGACTGCAGAGCAGGGAGGGCAGCTCAGCCCTGAGTGTGCACAGAAGGCTGAAGCAGAGCCAGGGGCCCTTTTCCCTGTGCAGCCACGGAGCAGTCCAGGCCATGGGAGGGTGAACGCTGGCCAGGGCAGGCTGGGTCCTGGGAGGGCTACTCATGGCGGGTGCCCAAGGGTGGGCACCTGCACTCACTTCCTACCCCAAAACTGTAAATAAAGGAAGGAGGAAGGTCCCATCGTGTTGCTCCCCTAGAATAAAGTTCCCATCATTGTGGCACTGGACACTTGGTGGGCAGAGGTGCCCGCTGCTTGCCTGCCCCGTTCAGGTGTATGGAAGGAGGTCGGCACCAAGGGTCAGACCTACCTTTTAGGGGAAGGTCCCTATGCTGGGAGGAAAGCCCAGGGGTTGCACAGGGGTAGATTATCACCAGACTTCCAGGGGAAAGAGGGAGAGGGAGCGGGAGACAGAGACGGAGAGAAAAAAGCATTTGTGGAAATTAAGAGAACTTCTTAAAAAGTCTATATTACTACAGAAATATTCAGGAAGATACGGCAGCCCTAAGACAAGAATAACATTTTTATTTTAAAAATAAAGAAAAGGTAAAGGAGACAAAAGAAGAAACTGGTAACCACTGATAGAATTAAAAACAAACCCCAAACAAGGACAAAAACTTTTGGAAAAAAGACAAGAAGGAAACGCCAAGGAAATTTCCCAGAGCGACCAAGAGGCTGGCCTCCGGGTGTTGGCTTGGCTGAAAGCGTGCCAACAAAGGCCTGACTACCTGACTTCCTGTTATCCCAGAGCTGAACCAAGCCAAACAAAACCCTGTTGGTTTAAACCACTCTGTTCAATTATTTATTGCTTAAAATATTCTTAGCTAATATAAGAATTAAAGAATTTCCTGGGTCTCAATTACCAATTGTTTTAAAGGAAGAGATGGGACTAGCTATTCAGTAAATAATAAACAGTACCTAGCAGAGTGAGGTTCTCTTTCTGATCCTATGTACTTGTAGGGTGGAATGCAGTGCCAGCCTCTCTTCAGTGTTAAAAGCGGTAAGACACCATCATTTTGGGAACTTAAGCATTCATACTAAAAGACTGAGTAATTTCTTTGTTCATTTATTCAACTATTTTTTTTAGTATCTACTATATGTCAAGTATTTGACTAGGGCTGAACAGTCATGGCCAGTGATTTCATGCAGTTTTTAACAGACACCAACAAACTAGACACTAGAAGGATAACCAACCACAACTGGGGGAGCATTACCAAGGAAGAGTACACAGCATCCCTCAAGCGTACACCAGCCCAGCTTACCTCTGATCGGGGTATCAGATCGGGATGGCTCTTTCCTCCAGGATGGGACAAAAACTTTAATGTAGGTGTGTCCTCTGTCCTTGAACCAGTCCACAGCCAGCTGGATTCCCCGGCAAGAGAAGACTTCTTTATTTCCATGGCTATGATAGGAAGACAAAGACATTTGAGCAGACACAGGAAGGGTTTCTAAGCGTGATTTCTCCTGGGACTATCCTGGATCACAGTCTCTTTACCGAGGAGGAACCAGGCAGATCTGCATTTTAAAGATTCAGTGGTGCCTTCTTCATACAAACTATAGCCCATGACTAGAACAGGAAGCTGGTGATAAGGACATAGCACTCTGGCTCCATGGGGAGAATATTTCAAGGGATAGGAGGACAGGGGAGACTGAGGGAGGGACAGGTTCTTAAGAGCGGAAGCCCCTACAAAGCCTGGCAGGGGGCAGTCAGCCTGAGTCTGGAAGGGAACCACACTTCAGTTTTCCTTACCATGCTTTCCTACATGTGTGACCTGTCCTGTTAGTTTCTCAGGGGGCTTAGGACAGACATGGGTCTATGAAGCACTATCATTGGTAAAGGAAGTGGAGCTCTGCAGAGGTACCAGAGAGCTTGCAGAATTCCTTCAGCTTCAATAATGAGTGAGAGCGCAGGCTTTGCAGCCTGGTATGGAGCGTCTCCTGGTAAAGGGAATACAGTGCTTTGGCCATCAAGGCTGCACTAGGAGATTTGTATAAACAGTAAGGAGAAAACACTGGTCATGGCTTGTATCTAGCTGTCCCACCAAAGCTTCCTGCACTCAGAGGTGGGGCTTTTTGGAGCTGGCTGGATCTAAACTAAGTGATACTTGGGTTAAGGATATGTGGTTCTAATTTGTCCACTGATGGGTCTAACATAGTTCTGGGTGTAGATAACTGGAAGGCCCACCCTGGGTGTGGACAGTACCACCCAAAAGGCATTGAGCCTGGATGAGATAAAAGGGAAAGGGAACCTTGCTGCTTGCTGCCTCGATGCCTCCCACTTGGCCTGCCATGGACTGTTTCTCCTCTGCGATGCCCCTCTGCCATATCACTCTGCCTTGGAGCCAGCTGCCTATGGACTAAAACCTCTACAAACTATGAGCTGAAATAAACCTTTCCTCTTTTAACCTTTACTGTTGGGTTTTTTGTCTTAGCAATGAGAAAAGTAACTAAGACAGCACTCAAGAAGATGGGAGGTGAAACACTAGTCCCTTCTGTCCCAGGGGAAGCTGGAAGAGGAAAGGAGATGCGGATGAGCAAGGAGGTCACTGCCCCTCACTCCCACTGAGCCCAGAGAGGAGGGGGATGTAGAAATATCCGTGGGAACAGGAGGCTGAAGTCTGGTTTCCCAGCTCAGCCTCACAGGCTGCACATGCTCAGAGAAATCCTAGTTCTGCAAGGCTGCCTTAGAGGAAATGGTCAATAGGTGAGCCTGAAGCAACACCCAGGCTCTTTGCAGGTCCGGTCTGACCCCTACGGTGGACCAGTGCCTGCCAAGAGAGAGCACTGTAAGCCACCAAAATGCCAAAGGGGATCAATGACACTCCTGTGTTCATCTGGCTGCTCAGACGTGAATGAGGGCCAGGAACCCTATCCAAGCCAACCCCAAGTCTCAGAGACCCCAGAGGCCACTTGAAAGAGGACTAGGGGTAGAGAAGGGAAACCTGAGCCTGAGGTACCCAGAAGAAAAGACACAGAGATGCCACCACGGTGGCACCAGCAAATGCCTACCTGGAAACGGGGCGGGGTGGCGGGGGGGTTACCTGTATCATGGAGAATAAGGTAAGCATTTTCTGTGCAGCTCAAAACAACACTGTGAACATCTCATTTAGTCACTACAAGTCCTTGAGGAAGTGACCTTCACCCTCATTTTACCCTTGAGGAACTGACATAAAGCAATGTGCCTGGCTCTGATCTAGTGCCCCTGCCCTCTGAGCCTGATCATTGGCGACAAACTATTCCTCCCTTGGCACCAAGACCCCTGGGCCCCAGGGGCAGCTCCAAGGAGCAGGAGCCACCCAAGGTTAAATGCTCCGCAGGAAGGAGCCTTCCTGGGCTACTGCCCAGCACTGGGAGCTGGTTTATGGGCAACAGGCTGATGGGACAAGGAAATGAGAGCCCAGAGGTTTTGAATAACGTGAGGGCGGAAAGGAGAAGTGGGTTGGTGCCTGAAGCAAGTTATGCCAATGTGATAGCTGTGCCTGGGGCAGCCATCCCTGGGGCGCTGTCATTTATAGGAACCAAACCATCCTGTAGACCGTGGGATCCTTGACTGGTACCCGGGAAGTTGCTGCAAAAAACAACCCCTCACAAAACAACCCCTTGGGAGCAAGGCTGGGTGTAGAGTGGGAGAGACGAGGAACAATGACTTCATCGTTGCCTGAGAGATAAACGGACACCTTTGTTTCCGCTGTTTTTTATTTGGCATGAAACTGCCAGCACTCTGAACCTTCTCCCAGGAAATCTCTTCCAGAGCAAGTCAGGGTGAGAGGAGGTGGGCAGGGGCTGCCTTGGGTGCCCTCAACTTATAAAGGAGAAATGGGTGCAGACTTCATTAGGATTCCAAGGCTAAAGTTGATCAGAACAGATTCAGGGGCTCAGAAGCCAGTCTGACCCCCAGCCCAAAAGCGAACACCTGCATCTTTCCCACGACTTACAGCCCGCAGAAAGGTACATGATGAACGCAGGTGCTATTCCCACCCAGACTCTTTTTACCAACCAGTTCCTTCCTCTAGAAGAAGCAGAATCTGCCAGGTTTCCTGAGAGATTTAAAGTGTAGACAGCAACACAAACAAAAAGTCCAACATACCCCAAAGGAGGACACGTTGAAATGAAACGCTGCTCGGAAGCAGTAAGAGGAAGTGAAATTCTCAGGTGACTTCCCTCCAATGGGAGGCTTGAAGCCCACCATTGCTAGATTTGCCTACAGAATGCAAAGTGGCTGGGTGCTGTGAGCTCTCGGGCTTTGCAAAAAAAAATGCTGCACCGTGGCTCCTGGGAAGCCACTTTCTTCCCAAACACCATGATGCAGCTGCTAACAGGTCACCCTGAGAGTTTCCTGCTCTCTAAAAAGTTGCTGGACATTTTGCTTTTAAAGTCAGGTGTCTAGCAACTCAGGTATTCATTCAGCTGAATGACCCAAGCACTTTCTCTCTCCCTCTGCCTCTCCCTCTCTCTCTGTCTCTCTCTCTCATTCACTCACACACACACACACACACCTTGAAGATACAGGGATTGTACCTGAAAACATGGCTCTGGGCTGCTGGTCCCTCAGATCCACCACGGAAGGCACATGTGGCACCTGAGGCCCAGCACTGGCAGCAGCAGGCAGGAGTGGGTCCTGGGCACCAGCCCTGCAGCCCTGGTAAGGGAGCAGCGGCCTTGCACGTCCTATCTGCCCCTGGCAGGTCCAGGGTCATCCTGCTTGGGTTGGGCTCTGGTCAGCACTGGTAGGCTCTGGCACTGGAACAAAGGCCAGGGACTCCTACCACCAGGCCTTCTCCAAGGCCAGATCCGGGAAGAGCCACAGGTATGGAAACTGCTAGAGGTAACGGGCAACTTTGGAAGGAGCAGTGGATCCAGAGCTAACTCACTGCTCTGTGATGGCAGGCAAGTTGCTTACTCCCTCTCTCTCTCTAAACCTTTGAAGAAAAAGAGAACTTCCTTTAAAGGAAGATATGCTTGTGTCTTTCTAACACACGTGAAATAATTATCTTTACCCTCAGCATGTCAGAGATGAAAAAGCCATTTGTGATTGTTTAGTCCAACCTCTTAACTGTGTAAACAGGACTCGAAAAAGTCAAGGACTCGCCAAGGCCACACAGCTGGTCAACTAAAAACCCAGAGCTGCACAGCTTCATATACTTGGCTATTTAATGTCAAACGAATGAAAGGGAAATACAATTTAAAATTCAGTTCCTTCATCATCCTAGCCGCCTCTCCAGTGCTGGGTAGCCACGTGCAGCAAGTGGCTGCCCTAGCAGATAGCTCCAACTAAAACTTTCCTGCAGAGCAGAGAGTTGCTTCCGGCAGCCCTGGGTTAAAGTCCAAACTCAGACCTTCAGGCACTGAACTGTCTCCAGTTCTGGACTCTGACCTAAGCCTGGCTCCTCAGATCCTGAACTGATGCGTGCTCACCCACTTTGCAACATAGAATTCTTATTAAAGTTGACTCATTGCAGCCAGGCATGGTGGTACACACCTATAATTCTAGCATTCTGAGAGGCTGAGGCAGGAGGATCACAAGTCTGAGTGCAAGCTGAGCAATGTGGCAAAACCAGGTCTCAAACTAAAATTAAATTAAGGTTTTTAAAAAGGGCTAGGCACGCTCACTTCAGCAGCACATAGGCTGAAAATGGGTGGGGGCTATAACTCAGTGCAAAGGCCTTGGGTTCAACCCCCGGAACAAGAAAAAGAGAAGTTGACTCACTGCTGATGCATGGGGAAAAAAGCATTAGTCCTGCTTATAGGAGCCCGGTGGACTTTTTGCATTGCTACAGTGAGGAGACAGAAGGGTCTTTAAGTCCACTGTATGGAATTGCTACACTCTTAGGTCTGTCCTACTTAAATGCCTCAAGGGTAGAATGTTTTGTAGAGCCCAAATCCCTGAACAAATACATCCCATGGTTTATCAAAAGCCCTTGGCAGCAACCTGGTCTATGAACCTACAGAAACGCAGTCAGCACAGGCCTTCGCTCAGCCACAACCAACACACTTGAGCCAAAAGTCCTGCAACCTTCGGGAGAGAAGCCCCAGATCATCTTGCACGGGCAACATTAGTGGGAGCACACACAGAGGTCAGGGCTGACCCAACCAGTGTCGACCTTGGCCCATCAAGTCCCTTCCTGAACGAGAGAAGACCAAGCACAAGGACTGATGACCACTCGAATGCTCCCGTGCTCACTCACCACAAACGCCCCCTGAGCTCACTCACCAGGGACACGCAGCTTAGTGCCTCCTAAAAAGCAGAGAAAAAGAAATCCCTGGCTATAAAGCACAACATCACTGGTAGTTTCTCATTCTGCATGAGCAGTCCCTAACATTTGGGGGATCACAGGCCTTTTAAATATCTACTGAAAGCTGTGGACCTTCTCAGAGAAACACAGATATGTGTACACAAGTGCTTCGTGGCGTGTATTTTTTCAAGCCCCACTTGAAAGAAAAGGCCACAAGTCAGCAATGCAGAAAAATAAAACAGACTCTGCACCCCCCTCAAGCTTCCAGAAAGACACCCAGCTCAGCCGGTGCCTTGAGTTTAGCCCTGGAGCCCTGTATCAGACTTGCAGCCTCCAGACCTGGAAGAGAACAAATGCAGGCTGTTTGAAGCCAGCAAACAGCAGGAGGAAACTAGAGCAGATGCTAGTCTATAAGGACCCACAAAACACAACTCCCCTAAGTCATGATGGAAAAAAACCTGTACTAAAAAGGCAGGCTACTGTTCTCTGTGAGCACAGGCGCAGGCCGCTGCAGGCTCCAGGGGACAGAGTCACGGCCAGCGGCAGACACTCCGGCGGGTGCTCTTGTCAACAGAAGCTGCACTTCTCATCTGCTGAGGGAAGAAAGGGCACGTGTCCCACTCAGCCTCAATCTCCTCCTTGCCCTCTGAAGGGCAGCCTCACCTTCAAAACCAGAAGATGTGGATGTCTCCATACTACAAACCTCAGTGAGGAGAGCTTCCAGAAACCCTGTTTCTCAGGTTATTGGAACAATGGGGTCAGCAGATAATGACACGCCAGTTTGGGTTTCAACCAGCCATCACTTATAAAGGGGCAGCCTCTGCCGAGATCTCAATCACAGGATCTGGCAGAGCCCAGGGGAATGGCTTCTGCTGAAACTCCGATTGGAGGACACGGTAGATGCCACTGTAGAAGGGACAGGGAAGGGGATGGAACCTCAGACTCTCTCTCTCCCAGAACTTGCCTCTGCTGGGAACAATTAAGTCCCATGGTCAGGTGGTTGTATAATTTGTCCCTTTTTCCTAACTATTGGGACGCAGGGGGAAGGTGTGCATGTTTGCATGTGTGTGGACACATGTGGAAGTATGTTCATGTACATACATAGAGAACACACAGAGAAAATGCATTCTGGTTACTTGAGGTGTTTCGTGGGCAGCAAGTGTGTGCAAACACTGAGGCTCTGACTGGCTCCTCACAGTGAGTCTGAAGAAGGGTTTCCACCCTCCCTCACACAGGTTGAGCACGAGATTAAACCAATGGCAGCTGTGAGAGGTGGACGGTGGAGGTGGTGGGACCAGATGGAGTCAGCCAGGACACTTCTTGGTCATGTGCCAAAAAAGGATGTAGTTTGAATTGGAATTCCAGGCAGCAACTGAGACTCCCATCAAAAGAAAATCTTGCACTGCCACCCTATAACAATTCCTAAAAATATTATCTGGTCCCCAAAGAAAAAATGCTAATGTTTTCCTATAACCCTCAGAAGTAACCTTTTACATGTGTCCATGCTACTGTTTTGTTTTAGAAACTGGAAATTTTTTAAAGCTGGGAATGTTTTCACTTACATGGCTATCATTTTACATGCAAGGCCCTCTTTCTATTGATGCCTAGAGAGAGAAAGAGGAGCCTCGTCCAGATCAGTCAGAGACCAGGCTCCCTCCTGCTCTTTCCAGGACCCTTAGAGCCTACTGCATTCCTACAAGTCCCAACAATGTGCCAGATCTGGGAGCAGGATTCCACAGGCTTCCCTACAAGGAACATGCATGAGAATATGAGAGCGATCCCAGGGGCCAGCTCCTCAGTCCCAGGGAAAGAGAGGCTCACCAACTGCGTGTGTGCGTGTGTGTGTGTGTGTGTGTGTGTGTTACTGGGGATTGAATTCAGAGCCTTTGCACTGAGCTACATCCCCAGCCCTTTCATTTTTTTATTTTTGAGACAGGATTTGGCTAAGTTGCCTAGACTGAGCTCAGATTGCAATCCTCCTGCCTCAGCCTCCCAGAGTCCTGGGACTCTAGGCTTCATCATGTGTTGACAGAACAAGACGGGAGACCTGCCTGGTAAAAAATGGCACACTGCTCTCAGGACAAAACATGCAGGTGTGGGAGGACAGCACCGAGGATGGCCCAGTTGTGTGGAACCTTTTTCCAAACTGCTATTTGTCCTCCAAAGGCAAATTCAGAGTGAGCCCAAATCCCCAGGGGGAAACTTGAGGATGCCTTGTTGACATGGTGGGAACCACTGAAAGTGCTTGTCTGAATTCTTCCCCATAACTCGGCTTTTAAAAGGGAAGCACACATTTGCAGCTGTGCATGAACAGTTTCCTATGGCTCTGTGTTTGCCTGGCTGCAACTGAGCCAAGGGGCAGAATAACCCCCGTGTTTGAGCAATGATCTCTTCACCCAGGGCGGGGCGTGGGAGGCTACAGAGACTATCACAGTGGGGTTCAGCCAAGCCAGGCCCAACAGCCATTCAGGGCATGATGCTCACATCCCCAGAATGCAAAGGTGTCAAGACACAGTCTGCAGCTCAGGGGAGGAGAGGGGACCACAAACACTTCTCTCCAACCCAACAAGGGAACTGAGACCTCCCCTCCCCAGCAAACCCCCAGCAGCAGGCTCCCAGGGCAGCTCTGTTCTTTCTCCCACAAGATTCTCACATCCCTGAGGGAGACGAAGAAAGAAGAGGAACCGAGCACTCTTGTTTTCCAGGAGTCATGCAGCTGGTGAGGGACAGGGTCCAGAGAAGCGGCCACATCTGTCCACACCTGACCCAGGGTTCTTCCCCAGTACCCATGCCTTCCCCAGAGGAAGGAAGCTTTTGTGTGATTCCCTTAGGTGAGAATAATAATAGCACCCTCTTGTTGCACATGGCCAGAGGGGCTTGTTCCCAGCCTGTGGTGCAGCCCTGACTCTCATACTACTTTCTCAGGAGGGCTGATCCCCAACAGTGCAGATGCAGAAATGGAGATTCAGAGATGTTGAGTGCCTTACTTAAGGTCACATCGCTACTAAGAGGTAGAACAGGGATTCTAAGCCTGATCCACTGGCCCCAAAGTTCTTCAGAATAACCATAGAAAGCAGGAATGATTCACAGGCCTCCTGAGAGTCAGTCTTCCACTACCCAGCCCAAGCTACTCAATGAAGGAAAGCAGGAAAAATACCTCATTGCCACGTTGCTGCCATCAATCACTATGGGACGCAGAGAACTGGCCAGGTCACAGGAGTCCTCTTCCCGGGCTGGCCCTGGGCCCCGCCAGACAGAGTCTCGGGCCCCACAGGTGCCCCTGGGAACAAGCAGGGGCCCAGTGCTGCTGTCTGGGACCTCCTGAGCTGCAGGGCGGCTGCCTGTCCGGATCAGCTCCTGCAGCACGTCATTGACCAGGGCACTGTCACCCAGCTTGTCCAGCACCCTGACCACATCCTCCTGGCTGTAGCCCAGCTTCTGGAAGAACTCCATCTTGTTCGAGCGCTCCATACTGTACCAGCCAGCACTTTGTGTAGGTCCTGCCCCCAGCTTCGTCCTGGCAGAGTCCCACAGGCATGAGCTGAAGGAAAAACAATGTCCATCAGGTGCTTTCTATGCAGTGTGGCAACAAGGCTGCCAGGTAACTGAGGGCAAGCTGTGTACACACTCCCTTGCTCCGGCCTTATCAGTCAGGAAATCACCTTAAGCCTGGTCCCCTTGGGGATTTTCAGTTGCTCAGTGTGGTTGGGGAGCCGCAGATGCAATCACACTGCTGCGCTTGTGCATTCTCAAAGGCCTTTACCCCAACGCGCCTGTGCAGGGTTCACCAACCACACCCCAGGGTGGCAGGTGCTGAGCAGGGCACCCGGCACTCAGAGCAGGCCAAGGAAATATGCCTGAGGCTCTGTGCAGGGCTGGATGGTGGCCCACAGATTCCCACATTGAAGTTCTTAAAGCCAGGACCTCACAGCGTGAGTGTGCTTGGAGATAGGACCTTTGAAACAAAGTCATCAGCATTGGCCCTTGTCCAGTGACTCACCAGTCCGCACAGGAAGATGAAATGTGGACACAGAGAAGGATAAATATTTGAAGTCAGAAGGAGACCAGATCAGACCCTTCCTCTCCAGCATTACTGCCTGGGCTACACCTGTGGGGTGATGAGGTGGCGGGAGGGGACTGATTCTTTTGTTTTGGAAAATAGTTATTTCTCACTATGGTATTTTCAGAAGGAGATGATGACTAAACCAACATGAGCACTTGGGACAAGCTGATCTCTCTTCCACCTGCAAAGATCTACATCCTTCCAAAGAAATTTCAAATATAGCCCTAATCATGAAAATATATTTACTGTGAAAAAGTCAAACAACACAAGAGTATAAAGAGTACTACAGACCCTGACTCCCCAGGGCCTCCCTTGCTAAGTCTGCTCATGTTTGCATGTCTTCAGCATTTTCTCTACACATTTAACTTGAAAATTAATAGATACAAACAAAGACTGTTTTAGGGTTGTTTGGTCTGACTTTTACATAAATGATGCCACACTGGACATATTGTTTGGCAACTTCCCTTTCTTATTACAAATGCATTTTGGAAATTTTTTTCCAGGACAATTTACTTGTCCTGCTGCCTATAGTATCCCTAGAATCTGAATCAGCCCTGGCACAGCTGAATTTCAATGTATAGTTGTTGAGGGATGGATGGATGGATGGATGGATGGATGGATGGATGGATGGATGTTGCCTTCCATGGCTTAGTCATATGTCAAAGGATGGAAATTTAGGTTGTCTTCCATTTTTCTCTGTTAGAAATCCTGCTCCCTGAAGATTTTTGCACATTCTCTTTATGTTGTCCTTTTCTCAGCATTGCTGGTCCCTCACCTGTTATCCTATTCTTCCATCTGAATCCTTTGCTGCATCCATGACTGTGCCGGCTCCCACTTGGCCTTCGAATTCTCTCACTGGCCTCTCCCTGTAGTACAGGGGCTGGGGCAGAGCTAGCGAGGTCAGGGTCTGGCACGCAGAGGGCCCTTCACAACCAAGCCCTGGATAGACAGCCTCTGCTGCAGTCCTCACTCGCTCATCTCCCGCTCCATCTCTGCCCAGGATGGTGCCACCCCCGCTGAAGCACTGAAACTACCCCCAGGGTCACCTTCTAACTGCCAAGTGCAAAAGTATCTTCACGACCCTTGCCTCACCCAACCCGTCTGCTCCTTTTGACTCTGTGAACCACACTGACTCATTATTTTCAATTTTAAAGTCAGGGACTTTCTCTTCTTGAAACTGTATGCCCCTTCAGACTACCTAGCTTGGCCTGATTCTCCCCCAACCTCTTTCCAGCTCTTTCCTCTGCTCCTCCTTCAGTGCAGAGCCCCTGCCCAGGCCATCCTGCAGCCCCTACACGACCTCCTACGGAGCACACACACAGCTGTAAACCACACCACACAACGCCACGCACATGCACACTACGTAAACGGAGTGCTGCGGGAGCTCAGAAGGCTGGCATTCAACAGAGACTGCCAAGTGTCTAATTCAGTGGTTCTCACAGGGTAGTCTAGAGAACCCTGGAGGCCCCAAGACTTTTTCAGGGAATCCATGAGGTAAAAAATATAATAACTCATAATTTCATAACGATAATTTCAATAACAATTTCATAGTAATACGGAGAGATAATTTGCTTATTTTACCCTCTGCCTCTCATGAGTATCCCATGAAACATTCCAGAGGCTATCTGTCCTATGGTATTGCTATGGTTTAAATGCAAAAGCAGATATGAGAATCCAGCTGTCTTTTATGAAACTAGACATAAAGAGACGTGAAAAAAATCATACCATTTTTCTTACCTTTTTCGTGTTGTTTTGGAAGATAGAGTTCTCATAAAGGTTTAATTGGCTTATTGCTGTCTAAAAATACATGGATTCATTTTCTATTTCTTAGTTTTAGTTTCTAACAAAGTATATTTCTTTTTTTTTTTTTTTCTTTTTTTCAAAGTATATTTCAATAGGTAGATATAACCCTCAGCAACAAAAGCTCTTGGATGTCCTTCAAAATATTCAGGGGTACAAAAGAGTTCTGAAACCAAAAAGTTTCTTCTTAAATCAAGAGCCACTCCAACAGATATTTCCACGGAGATGGGTCCACGTAGCTGGCCTTTAGATGTGTGGCCATTCTCCTGGGCCCGGGTCCAAAAAGCCCGGTGTCTTTCCTCTCCTCAGCCTGTCCCTCCCAACCCCCATCTCCCTTGACTTACCTGCTCCTCAAGCCTCACTCCAGCCTGCTTCCTCCCTTAGCCAAAGCACACAGCCTCCACGGGGCCTCCTTCCTCAAGCGCATCTGCCTGAACCTGACTTGCAGTCAGCGTCCTGTTTCTAACACAAGCTGATACAAATATGAAGCAGGATTGAGAAATACAGTGAATGTTTCATTTTTGTTTGTTTTTGTTACAGAGAAAGATATCTTGCCATTGATCTCTCTTAAAATATGACCACCCGCTTCAAGCACAGGATTCCATTGTGTTTGGCACTTTCTGAAGCATTTCTGGAAGTCTTCTTTCCTGGGTGTCTTTATCTGCATTGACCTGGGTCCTTGATGTCCTGAATCAATTTAAAATGTTTATTTTCATGGTCATCTTCACTTTGGGGAGGAGCCAGAAGTTGCCAGGTGTCAGACGTGGTGAATGAGGTGGATGAAGACACACTGTGATGCTTTTATGAGCCTGGCTTTCTGCTGGCCGGCACTCGGGTGCAGCACTCACCATAGTTCTGATCACACCTCAGAAATACACTCATGAAAGAGAATCTCCTTAGAACGTGGCAAAAATGATGAGACAAATGTGTTCAAAGCCGGGGGGAATATGGCAGTTAGTAGACAAGGCAGCCAGACTGCGGGCATGCGTTCTGGTAAAATCCAAGTCAAAGACAGCCCAACAGGACAGAAACAGGGGAGGTGGGCTGGAGACTTCATAAGTAGAACAAGGGAGGACTATTTTGAGGGGACTAATGCCAGTGTGTCTTTTACTGTAATAAACTTTCAAAATTTAAACATTCATCATTATTATTACGATCATACCTCAGATCAACCCGTTTAGAGGTACATTCTGCCAACCCTGTGGACTGCAAAAAGACACCAAATTCTGATCAGCTGTGCCGTGATATAACTGACCCTGCCCACCTCACCCACCATCCTCCCGCAGCCCAGCCAGTCCTTCTCCAAATCCACAGAGAAACTCTCCCTGCTCCCTAAGAATTCCAGAATATTCTCATGCACATGCTTTTTCTCTTTACGCAGAATGCTCCTTTTGGCTTGGCAAACCGCAAGATTCAACTCACGTGTCACTCAAAGACTTCCATTCCTCCAAAAGATCTTCCACGTTCCTCACCCTATAGAGAGAAAGGGACCAAACTTGCATACGAGAGTGCAAGCCTCACCTTCAGGCCTGACCTACTTCCATCTCTTGGTCAGGTGCCTCTGGTCTAGTCTCTCCTTCTCTCTGTACCTAGTGACACTCTTTCTCTCTCAGGATGTCCTTTGGGCTGGGTTCCAACTTCAGACGAACTCCACAGAGGAAGATGATACTCATCCAGCCTGACAGATCAGCCCTAAGAAGTCACTCACTGATCCTAAAGGCTTTTACTCAGGTCCCTTCCCAAGCCTGGAGCAGCTGTCCTCTCACCAGGCTAAGCCCACTGTCAGGTCCTCCAAAAAGCCTTCCCAAGCCCTGTGGTCCCATCCACATCCATCTCCACCACCCCCTGCTCATGCCTGTGTGGCACTTATTTTGCTTTGGAAGAAACAGAGAGAAGGGAAGAGCAGAAGGATCAACACAGTACAGAAACTGAGAAGTTTATATTCATGTGGCTCTTCATTGTTTCAGAGACTCTTACTTAAATTTCCTACTATTCCCGGCAGGATGATGGAGCAAACAAGGCTTCTCCTTTCACGAGTGAGGAAACTGAGGCTCAGAGTGGTGCAGAGTAAAGGTTATATAGCTAGTAAATAGTAGAGACTGACAATCAGTAGGTCCTGAAAATAATTCTGCCACTCTGAGTTGCACCCAGGCCCAGTATAGTACCTTGTTATTACAGAAATGGAAAAAGCAAATTACAACTAGGTCAGGTGATTTTTCTTTAGTCACAAAGGAACAGGTAGAAGAAGAACTTGTGTTTATTTTGTAACTCTGCATTTGGGTGTGACAGAAACAGGAACATTTCCACAATGAGAATATTTGAATTTTTGACCTGGGTGGAGAGGCAGAGTGGCCACGTGAGGCCCTTGCTCATGGCTGCAGCTTTCCTCGGAGCCCACCGGTTAGACCCGGGGCTCCCTTTCTGAAGAACTTTCAAAAGTTTTATGAGGAACAAAATGGCTGTTTTTACATAAAATTAAAAGAAAGAATGCACGTTCTTTAGAGGCTTTTTTTCTCTTCGAAGCTTTAAAACAAAACTTCATTTCCTTAAAAAAAAAAAAAAAAAACTTTTTTTTTTTCCTAAGGGAGAGCTGGCAGTAGGGGTCTGTGCTCAGGAGCCAACCTGGGTCTCTAGGTGACAAGCCTCCCCAGGGATGTGATGGTCCTTGGGCTCCACCACCCCAGCTGCTTTGCCTTTCTATTTTTAAGACCTGAAAGTCTGAACAACCTCATCTCAGTTTTCTTCCTCAATCTTGACTGGAAGTCACAAAGTACACAGAAGATTAGTAACAACATCTTCACAGTTGCCTCATGAGCTCTTGCAATAGTCAGCATTCCAACATTTTCTTCCCTAGTTGTTTGTAGACAAGGCAACCATACTGCAGGCATGTGTTCTGGTAGAATCCAAAGTCAAAGACAGCTCAAAGGCACAGAAATAGGGAAGAGGGGCTGAGGAGCTCCATGGGCAGAACAAGGGAAATCAGGTCAGATCTGGTTCTTCTCGAGCAAGCAACCAGACTGAAGACCCCCAGGTCAAAGGTCTGTAACCTCGGACCAAAAGACCCCCTGAGGAAATCAAAGAAAAACTGAAAGAGAAGAAAAGGAGATGGATAAGACACGGAGAACCAGTGGACCCCTGTGTGCAGTGTTTTGTGATTACAAGCTGCTTCCTCCTGTATTGTGTGTGGAAGTTCCAATGAGGGGTGCAAAACACCACCTCATTCCTCGTGTTGCAGTTTCTCTGAGGAAACTGAGGAAAAGAGAGGATTTAGTGACTTACCCAATATCCCACAGCAAGTAAGCAGGAGACACCAGACTGCAAAGGGCCACAGTTCCCATCACCCCTGACAGAAGGTGACATGGCCTGCTGCCATGAGCTCACAGCTCAGGGCCCAAATGAGCACATTCAGCATCTTGTCCTTGTCCCCCAAGACCCTTCCATGTGGCCTCTGCCAGTTCTGTAGAAATCCACAACACAAAGGCTGCCACAACTCAGCCCCTGGGATGAGGAGGGGGGCCTGCCCCCGTTTCTCAACAGGGTGTAAGCAGAAGTTTTGTGGTTCAGCTCAGATCTCCAGGCCCTTGACAAAGTTGTCAGTTAGATTTTGAGGAAGTCAAAGAGAGGCAAAAAGAGAATTTTTTTTTTTTAATTTTAAATTGTGATTAAATATAAAAGTTATCATTTTCACCATTTTTAAGTACACATTTCCATAGCATTAAGTCCCTTTACATGTTGGACAACTATCACCATCATCCATCTCTGGAACACTTTTCATCTTGCAAAACTAAAACTCTACAAATTAAACACCGCTATCCTATTTCCCCTGCCCTCCAGCCCCTGGCAGCCACCATTCATTCCACTGTCCGTGAATTTGAGCCCTCCAGATACCACGTGTCCTTTTGTCATGGTTTATTTCACTTAGCACAATATCTTCAAGGTTCATCCATGTTACTGCATGTGTCAGAATTTCCTTCCTTTTTGAGACTGAATAACATTGAGCGTATATAGCACACATTATGTTTAGACATTCACCCATTCATCCATCAGTGGACACCTTGGTTGCTTCCACTTTTAGCAACTGCTATAATGCTGCTGTGAGCATCAATCTGCCAGCCTGGCCATTTCTTTTCTCCTTAAACTTGTCCCAGGATCTTCTGTACAGCTATATGCTACCTGTACCTTCTGTACAGCTTTACGTTGTACAGGTATTTGCAGCCCCGATCCACATTCCAGAACAACACTCCTATATTCTATGTCCCAATCTACTCATGTATCAGATGCTGGCACTCTCAGAGAGGCATCCTCTGGCCCGGGAGAAAAATCAGTAATCTTGTGGAGGCAAAGCTGAGGTTTCTAATGACTGCAGGGAATTAGCCAAAATTATCTTCAGCACAATCAGATTTAAGAGTTCAATTTGTTCATCAGCCTGCTTGAAGCTCACAAGGCCCTCCTCTAGAAGCAAAGTGTTGGAGGCCATGGCCCAGAGTCCCTGATCCGCATTCACCCAGGAAACTAGCTACCAACAAACCACTATCTGGAGGCTTCACGAGCACCAAGACAGGGTAAATTGAGTTGTATTCCTTTGTCTTTAAAATGCCTGCAAACACCACAGCCAGAGGTTTTGCTTAAACTGAAGAGCTTAATCTTTCCCCTATAAAATCCTTGCTACAACTGAACAAGGATTGCCCCTCAAGGAATTTAAGAAGCTTACAACTATTTTACAATTTGAGCGCTTAGAATAATTTCAGGTGAGAAGTCAGATTGCTCAGAACAGTACTCACCCAAAGACTGCTCACCAGCTGGCCCTTCTCCCACCCCACCCCAAGGGTGAGTCTCTGCTCCCAGCCTCTTGACTGATGTCTGCACACGGTCTGCCACGCTGACCGACGGCCTGGGCACACGCACTCACCAGCAGGGTATGTCCTTCTGGTTCTCCCAGTGGATGTTGGCCCAGCTGCCCCACAGCCTCCACGTTGATGCAAGGGGTCCGGTCCTCCAGGGGTCCCTGGATCAGGAGAGGGCGGCCAGTCTGGGCCACATCACTGCTGGAAGCCACTTCATACCAACGTTCCACTTCCTGTGTGAAGAGTCACATTCAGCTGCAAAGGTGGTTAGGCTGTGAGTTGTTTTTTTTTTTTTTTAAAGGGGAAAGGAAGAAAGCAATCAAACAAGAGAGGCGAGCTTAGTGTTTTCGCCTCAGCATGAATCACTGAATCAAAGTTCAACAGCCACATGCAAAACGAACTCTCCGGAAGGTGGCAGACACTAGGAAAGGTGGAAGCCACTAGGAAATCCAGGAGCATCCAAGAGGAAAAAGGCAAGAATAATCCAAGGGTGAGAACTGCAGCTCCAGGTCTCCACTCTTGCTTGTGCTGGGGAAGAGCGTTTGATCCTAGATGATCCTCAGGGAGGGAGAACTCGAAACTAAACATGATGACAGCTTGCCGGGGGAACAGTGTTGGGGCAAGGGAGAGAACAGAGATGGCTACGGGGTACACAATGGACGGGGATGTGGAGGAAGAGGCTGCTCCTTTTCTCACAAAGAGGGGAGGCCCAAATACACCATGAAGTCCCTTGAAGCAGGAGCTAGGACATAGGGACAACATGACCCTGTGGCTCTCCTCACTGCTGCCCGCATGGAGTGGACAGTGTTCCCCGCCCCCTGGGTCAGGTGAACTCTGACACCAGGCCCAGCCGACCACAGCACTCTGCAGGAAGGTGCAGGCGACACAGGCGGAGCTCAGCGTTTATTTCCTGAATTTGGGGGTGTCCATCAGTGGTCAGAATAAGAGGGAAAGGTACCACCAAACCACACAGTGGCCTCCCAACAGACACCTCTCCCAGCAGTTTGCCCAAGGCACGGCCACCCAGGGGCCACACTGGATTTACAACCTGGGAGTTGGTGCAAGGAAAGAAGGATGGCGAAAATTAGCCAGGAGTGGGTGGTGGTGCACACACATCTGTTACCCCAGCACTCTGGTCTCATGTTCGGGGCCAGCCCAGGTTAGATAGTAAATTCAAGACTCACCCAGACTACTCGTGAGACCCTGTCTCAAAAATCAACAACAAACAAACAAAAAGAATGGCACAGGGGGCTGGGGGGTTAGCTCAGCGGCACAGCGCTAGCCTGGCAAGCGCAAGGTAGTGAGTTCGATTCCTGGTACCGGGAAAAAAAAAAAGAATGGCACAAATTAGCCAGAATTTGTTACCCCACTTTATTTATTCCCTACCTGTTTCTCAAAGAAGATTTGAAGCAGCCTAGAATACTAAAAGGCAGCTTTTTGAAATAAAATTTACTCTGGTATGAGAAATCAAAAATGTAAATAAGGATCAAAATGTAGAATAGATATTGTGAAATAGGAAGAAAGTGTTCAAATGGGAAGAGGAACTAGGGATGCGGGAGAAGAAAAGGAAAG